TGGTTATTTATTAGAAGTTATGGAAGATACTGGATAGATTTAGTCATGGCCTTTTTAATGCCAAATGAGCTGCATTTGTCAACACGTATGATCATATCAGCCCATTTACACCAGATGGAGAAACGATTTAGTAGGTGTTGGTTTTCAGACTCTTGACTTGTGATCACGGCTGCATCGTCAGCGAATTGGAACCAGTGGACAGGATTTAGTAGATTATAGGAGAAACCAAATTGATTATACTTTTCAGACTTTATATGTTGGATGAACGTGTTAAAACACATGTTGAACAAGAGTGGGCGGAGGCAATCTCCTTGTAATACACCACGACCGACTGTGACAAAAGGGGTGTTGAATTCGGATGTAATTATTGATGTTTGGAAATCTGTGTACAAGGTTTCAATAGCTGATTTTATTTCGTCTGGAATATGGTGATAATTTAGGACAGACTTGATTCAGCTATGATGTTCTTCACCAAAAGCATTTTTTAGATCGAGGAGAGTTATAACAACCGAAAGTTGCTTGCTTCAAGCTTTATTTATAATATTTGCCATTTGCGAGGTATGTTCTAAAGTTCCAAAGAGATGCGGTGTAAATCCTTTTTGGATTTTACTTTCCACGTAATTGTTAGATTCAAGGAAGGAGTAGATGGCATTACAGAGGCAAGATGTATATACTTTTAAGGGTATGGATTCAAGGGTAATAGGACGAAAATTAGCCGGGGTCATTAGTGTTTCCCTTTTTGTGAATCAATATGGTACAGGCTTTCTTCCACTGAGAAGGAACATTTCCTGATAACCAAACGCAGTGTATTATTTCCGTTAGATAAGTTCTAAGATATGGACATCTCTTAAAACATATAATAGAAACTTGATCAAGCGGGCAAGGCGAACTAGACGATTTCATTTTGTGTAACACATTTGTTATTTGTTGATATGTTGGAGGGTCAAGGTTAAATTCGACTTTAGGCTCAGATAACTTAGGAATCCAATTAGGAATTTCAAACAGTTTATTTGGGTGCAATTTTTCAAGCGATCTCGTGAAGTATTTGAGACAATCTTCTACACTGAATGTTGGGAGGGGTGACGATTTATCATTCAGGACTTGTTCCAAAAATTTTGAAATTTTGTTCCAAAAATTTGTCATGGTTTAAATTTTCTGCGGTATTTGACGTTGGGTAATCTGTGATGTTTACATTTTTCAATTTGTTGCATAACGCACGGGCGACATATTTGATTTCAGTAAGGTCATCATGGTTTCATTTTAGAATATGTAGTGCCTTTTTTAATTCTTTAACAGTATGATTCTTGTATTTCTCTACCAATGTTTTATCAGGAACAGATTCAGTGTACCCGAAGTGTTCCGAAAAATAATCGTAAATTAGGTTGCTTAGGAATGAAATATTTGAATTTAAATCTTGTGTTGTGATTGGCGCGTTTGATTGCAGAGATAATTTAAAATACTCGTTAGCTGTTAGCCATTCATGCTCACATTTTGGAAGCTTTATTCCTCTTTTTAATTCGGGCAATTTTTCCGCAATATCCATGTTAACATTTACCTCAGTTAAATCAGTTTCCGCGCTGTTAAGATGAGTGCTGTTTTCATTTATCTGCTTCTCAAGACGACGACAATAATAATAATAATAATGAAAACTTTTATTCAATTTTTTAAAAAATACAATTGCAAATCTCGCTTAAAAGGTAACTTACAATTGGCTACTTGAGGTTACATTTTTTACAAAGGGCTAAACTAGATTTCACATTACACAATATATTTTACAATTTCAGATTTTCATCAAATCAGGACTAGACCATTCTTTGTTTCTAACACAGAAAATATAACAAGTTGATCGTATGGCTACATTTATAATCTTTCGAATTAAGTAATTAGTATGTTGTTTATTTACATTTATATCTTCGAGCATGTCTATGAAAGAGGACGATTCTTTGTCAAAAACACCAAGAGCACTGATTGATATATTAATAAATTTAACAGATTTGAAGTGCTTCTCTTGCTCTTTAATAAGTTCTTTATATTTTGCGTGTTTGCGACTTATGTTATTTCTGAGGTTAGTTTCATATCCGACGGTTAGTTCTAGTATATATAGGTGCTTGGCCTCTGTTGTAATGAGCAAATCAGGACGATACTTGTCACCAGTTATTATTGAGGGGTTAGAAAATCCCGGTATATCGGCAAATATATCTTGAAAATGCTCTGACGGCAGATTATTGGCAATGAAATTTAGAATCGAGTTATGTCTCCATGTGAATCGATCCAGGTATGAGTTGCAGCCAGCGACTACATGAAGCAAGGTCTCCGGATGGAGGCAAAAAAAACAATCAGAAGATGACGATATTCCCCATATAGACTCATTAGGAGACAACTTTAAGGCATTACGAATTGTTGACTGATAATGGACAAATTTTGTTGAAGGTGTGATAATGTTAAGGCCAAATTTATTACGGGTAATATACACGTTGCTCAATGTTCCTGAGATGGGCACTTCGAGCCATTTACGGATGTGGTCATTGACGATAGGATCAAGGTTTTCTGTAATCCAAGTTTTATAGAAGTTCAGATATTCTAAAAAGTTAGTAAGTTGGGATTTTCCCATTCTAATAATAATAATAAAATGGGAAAATGCGGAAAAAATTTGTAAAACGCGAAAAAAAGGTGAAAGACGGAAAAAAGGGTAAAATACACAAAAAGGTAACACAAAGAGAAAAGGTAAAACGCGGAAAAAGGTAAAAAAGGGAAAAAAGGGTAAAATGCAGAGAAAAGGAGAAAATGCGGAAAAAAAGGTGAAAGATGGAAAAAAGGGTAAAATGCGGAAAAAATGGTAAGATGCGGAAAAAAAGGTAAAATGTGGAAAAAAGGGTAAAATACAGAAAAAAGGTGAAAAGCGAGAAAAAGGGTAAAATGTGGAGGAAAGGAGAAAATGCGGAAGAAAGTTTAAAACGCGGAAGAAAGGTGAGAGATGGTAAAACGTGGTAAAAAGGGTAAAATGTACGTAAAAAGGGCTAAACGCGGAAAAAGGTAAAACACGGAAAAAAGGTGAGAGGCGGAAAGTAGGATAATATGCGAGAAAAAGGGTAAAACGCGAAGAAAAGGGGAAAATGTGGAAAAAGTTTTAAAACGCAGAAAAGAGGTGAAAGACGGTAAAACACAGTAAAAAAGGTAAAATATGTAAAAAAGATAAACCGCTGAAAAAGGTAAAATTGGAGATAGAAATGAGATTAAAATATATAGTTTCTTTGTAGGTAATAAAATATCCTATGCTATCAACATAATGCTACCAAATGCTACCCTGGGGCCGGTTGTATCAAGCCTGTTTAGCCTAAACGGCGGATAAGTTGAAAAAAGAAATCACATCTATTGTTTATTTCAACAAGCAAACAAAATGTTTTTAACCTTAATGCAAATATACTGTTAACAACTACATATTCAATACATCATTTTCCAGTTGACTCATTCAAGAGAGATTAAGAGTGCTATTTAATTTTGACTTATCCGCCGTTTAAGCTAAATGGGCTTGATACAACCGACCCCAGTTCTGCAATTCAAAAGGTTTAGAAATTTGTGCACACTATTGGTATAGAAATTGCGAGAAAGAATGGTCTGTGCATATATGCCGTATTCCAGAAGAAGAATGTTCATTTACGCGCAATGCAAACAAAAAAGTCTGGAGTAAAGGCTGACATATGCTTTTGTGTTAAAACACTTTCAATTACTGTTACATGGCTCTAAGTTCGAAATTGCCACTCTTTTCAAGCTGCACTGAACTCTTCAGTGAAGTATTGTTACTGAAATAAAACAAAGGTTCCATAAGAGTCTGCGCCTTTATCAAATATGCTTTCTATGGATGTGATGAACTCGCCCAAGCAATTTTTGCGTCCTTTAATAATAGCAGCACCGAGATGCCCACGGTCATGAAAATCTACCATGAATAAATGACTGGACGATGCTGAAAAGAATATGGTGTAACCTGCGTAGATGAAAATTGCTGCTTGTTTTTCTATCAAGTTCGCCAAATTATTCGCTAAACGTGTAATAATATTCGAGTCACACAATCGAACTGGGGTAGTCTTGAGCAAAACAATAGTGAGCCTTAAATCACGTTCTAAGTATAAAATGGCTTTGTCAGCAGTGAGCGGCCTTCCTCCACCTTCAAATGCATTCGACAACTAATATCCGGTTCATGCAGCATAGAAAACAGCTTTAAACCAGTCTTTGGATAGAGGACCATCCTCTGGTAGACGCTGATCGGTAGACAGCACCATGTTACCAAGTATAAGACCGGATAAAATGGTGGCATTTAACTTGCTGAGATATTCGACAGGTTGGTCACACCATGGCTGAAATAACCATACAGATATTGAACTTTCTTCAGCTTTGTGAAACTGAACTTTGCTCAACCTACGGTTTAATGACGAGGACTTGTCAGCAAGAGGACTGTGGTTGCCTGCAGCTTCCACCATAAGCGCCTCAGTGGCTTGCGATATCGCTAATCCTGCTGCGCTACTTGTTGCTGTGTGGATTGTCGTTGGAAGATTCAATCCGATGTTTTGGCAAGCATTGGGAACAACGTGAGGCTTATCCATCGAAACTTTAGGGCATTTTGATGCATTTGTTGATGCAACGGTGCATTTTCGGCATGGTCTTCCTCATGTTTGCTTACCAGTTGCCCGTATAAACTGAGGTTTATTGTGTTTCCAAACTAAAAAAAAATATAGCGATTTGCCAGACTGATTTGAAAAAATATTTGTTGGCCCTTCTTTGAATCTATTTTTTGTATAGTTTTCTGAAGGCAAAGAATTTTCAACTACTCAAAAACGCAAGAAAAATTGTGGGAATCATGATAAAAATCTGTATGTTGCTGCATGTTTTTTGTCCGATTGTTGTGAATCTTGAGTTTAATACTGTAACTTCATAATAGTATCTAGTTTTATTAATTTATGCATAAATGAAGGGGGTGGCCTGATGTTTTTAAACAAGAATGAGCAACAAGGGGGAATTTCGTCCTCAACCAATCAGCATCTTTGTTTACATTTTGACTCTAAACCAATCAGAATGCGTATAACGCGAATGCTTGTAAACAAGCAAGGTGGTCACTCTCGAGCTTCGTTGCCATCGGATGTTTAATATTTTCTCATGAAATCAAGAAATGTTGATTAGAAAGGAATTATCCTAAACTTCACCGCGGCGATTTTTGATTTATGGCGTTTTCGCGAAGATATCGACGTCAAAACTTTGCCCTGGTTATAAGCCTAACTAATACTCCTTCGAATAGGCTGAATAGACAAACCTAAACGAATTGGTCTAATTATAGCTGGTTTTAGAAATAGCTCAAATTGGCATATTTAAAAATTAACTTACTGTATTGATTTACTTCCTGTTCACAATTAGCGGAATAATTTCCGGCGCTGCTATCACTTCATATACTTGGCGTGTTAGCATAAAACCTTAACGTCAAGATGGCGAACCCTCAAATCTGCGCCAGGCAGAAACTTTTAAAATCAAATCGAGAACAGTTCGCGTGTTTGTGGTTTCATCTTGGATGTCGCTTTCAACATCGTCGTCATCGCTGTACTCATTGCTGTTCTCAGTCTCATCGCTCGAGTCGTCTACGTCGAAATCTTGCTCGTCAGATTCAGGATTGAAATCATGGACTGCTTTGTTTGCTGTCTCTCCGAGTGATGCGGCCTTCGACTTGACGAATTCTTTGCAGATCTCGCACACGCTTATATCCGGAAGATTGCACTCGATGTGAAACGAATGCCCACAGCCATAGAAAATGCGCCATAATGTGCTTTGACGAGTGCACTGAATGCTATCACACAATCTGGATTTAAGAGAAGGTAAAAAGTTTCTAATTCTACTTTATATTGTTAAGGCAAAGAATTAGAGAAATTAAGAAACTGCTTAAAAATTTGGTTATTGAACTTGATAATTCCATTGTCATTACTGTGGTCTAGCGTAATTTTCTTTTGCTATGTCAGTCACTAAAGGCTAACTTACTTGTCTGGGTTAGGTGACCTTTCTACTGAGGAAAACCCAAGTGGGAGCACTCTGTTGGTGACAACTTGATTGCCAAATAAACTTGGTAAAACCCACTTAGTTAGATCCTTTCTTTGCCTGCGTTGCCGTGGTTGTTTTGTTGCTTGACCAGGGTGGGAATGGATTGTTTCAAACTTGTTGACCAGGAATTCTGCAGCTTTGGTTTTCAGGTTGTCAATCCGCTTTCTGCTGTAGTTAAATTTCCTGGGAGGGACAAATGCTGACTGAAACTCTTGCATTTCTTGCTTGCAGGCATCAATCTCTTTGGCCTTCTCTTGAATTCTTTCAGCAGTGTCTGTTTCGTTTGTCCTTGCTCGAAGCAACGAATGAAAATTCTCCACAGGGTACTCATCAAGAGCTACCAGGAATTGCTGAATGACTTTGTGCATTGGGTGAGTGGTTTCATTCCAATATTGGAAGGTAGAGAGAACAATAAGCAGTGCCTTGTTATAGTGTCTTCGGTGAAATACTGTCATCATAATCCAACAGCGAAGCAGTGATTTGCAATAGAGTTCGTAGTTGCTGCACTTGAAGACTACTGAGTAAATGCTGAGGACAAGTGGGATGTAGTTGTCAATAAGATTGAGTAAGGTGAGGAATTCAATATCCTTACAATTTGGGAAGACTGACATTATTGTATCTCGAATAAGTGTCCAACCCCCATACATGACTTCAAGGAGTAGTGATAATCGCCATGGCTTTGGTTTTTTTGCCAGCTTTGCCTTTGCACCAAATAAGAAGGAATAAAGATCTGCAAATATTTTGTGGAAGTTGAGCAAAACACACTCTCGGGAGTTTAGGGAAATGTGCAGTGGACCAATTAGTGGGATCACATTCTTGCAGATAGTGGGTAGGGAAGCTGAAGCAGTATTATATACAAGTTGCCGCATAAAGAATTGCATGGGCCAATCAGCAGGAAACGGAGCTATAAAATGCTCGAGGTAATCTTCCAAACCGTTAGACAGTATGTGTTTAAATGCAGTCAGTACATCATTGTGGGACTTTAAGGGCAATTTGAGGCTGTCTACTAGCTTAGTATTATCCATACGTCGCATTTCTCTAATTTCTGTCTGTTGGTAATCGTGAATTGCCACTCTTTGTTTTTCTGCTTCAGGATCAAAGTACTTTGCTACTGCCCAGTCTGGCATGGTACTTGCATAGGTTTGGGAACAAATGCTCATATTCTCAACTAGGAACTTTTTCAGTAAACTTTCCTCCACTGGATTGGCAGGTAGTAAGGGTTGCAGGGAATTGCTACGGACAGCCTTGATGTTGGGGAAAACTTTTACCAATAGAGTGGAGGTGTGCACTGCTTGGGTTTGAGTCTTGGCTTCAGGTCGGTGTTTAGTGTGAATGTTATGATAATCATCAATGCAAAATATTATAAATTGTTCATTTTCAATTACAGTTTGAAAGAATAATTTTACTCTATCAAGGTGGGAAGCTGAAGAGGTTAGCATGGAGGCTTTTATAGTACGGGGGTGTGCAACAATACCCAGGTTTTTGAGAGATTCTAAACCTTGTTGGCTTATTCCAAATTGCTGGAGGGTTCTTGCTAGAGATACTTGGAACCAGTTAGCCCGCTGTGACTTTGAGTACATCATGATATACAGTACAACCATGACTCTTAGTTTTGTCAGCTTTTGCCGTTCGTCTGACATCCGAGCTGAACTCATAGCACTATACAAGTTTGAGAAACTTTTTGCAGCTCCAACTTGTGTACAAATATCTTCAAAGCGATCAGGATCCATTACTGTAGGCTGTGGGTCATATGCAAGAAAAAATGTTTTTAACTTTTCCAGGTCACCTTCGATATTAACAGCTGAAGATTTACAAAGCTCCTCATATTCTCCTTTGGAAATGAAAATACCTTCAGATGTCTGGCATTCAACACTTGCTGTCGTCAGTTTAAAATCAGCTTTAGAGTCTTGACTTGGGGAAAGCAACGAAACAGTTGACTCGGTGCCTTGACTACTAGAAAACTGAATAATGGCAGGACTTGCAGCTTGGTTTTCTTGGTTGTTGGTTAACTGGGTGTTAAGGATACTTGTGGATGGCATCTCATCATCTTCTCTATTGTTGGATTCAGTTGGCAGATAAGTAGACAGACCGTCAAGCTATCATTAGAGAATGTAAACTTTAATATTACAATCTTAACCCCAAATTACAATATAAAAATATAGGTAGAGAAGAACAGGTAGCTATTAAAAAATACTGTGCAAAATAATTTGGGTCAAAATCTTAATTGCCAAAATGTTCCATCTTTGCAAAGAAGTGACAGTTTGTGCTATCTGGAGTTATATGCAATGCAGTTACGGAGCAATAAAAGCAATGCAGTTACAATTCTGTTTTTTATTATTACCTTCCTTGTAATATCGTCAGTAGTGAGTTTTTTTGGCAAATAGCGAGTAAAGTTCCTCTTTTTGAGACACACGCGAATGCAGTTCTTGCAAAGATGACTGATTTCTTTTGTCGTTTTAATTTGTTTTTCACGAACCAAAAACTGAGCAAGTGCTTTTGCCAACTCGCCCCAACCAAATCCTTTTAACTTGACCACTCTTGAGCCTTTACACGCTCCTGACCACTCATGGTGAAGAGGATTATTACAAAGTTTCGTAAATTTCGGCATTTAAAAGCGATAACAACAAAGAAAGCTACAGACCTCGAAAGTGTTTAGTGTTTGAATGAAAAGTTTCCCGCGGGCGGGAAAGGAAAATGTAATGATTGAACCAGTGAGGTTTGAACATGTTTCGAACAGGGTTTCTTTGCTATGTCTATGTATAGGAGACGTTTATAATCATAGGATGGTTAACATTATTTAAGCTTATAGCTTTTAAAATTAAATTGTAGTCATTTTAGTATCCATAGGCTGATAGGAATGGACAGAGAAGCTGTTAAAATGTCTTCAAACGATATTTTCAAAGCGTTTTATTCTGGTTTTGTTTATTCGAAGGAGTATTAGTTAGGCTTATAACCAGGGCAAAGTTTTGACGTCGATATCTTCGCGAAAACGCCATAAATCAAAAATCGCCGCGGTGAAGTTTAGGATAATTCCTTTCTAATCAACATTTCTTGATTTCATGAGAAAATATTAAACATCCGATGGCAACGAAGCTCGAGAGTGACCACCTTGCTTGTTTACAAGCATTCGCGTTATACGCATTCTGATTGGTTTAGAGTCAAAATGTAAACAAAGATGCTGATTGGTTGAGGACGAAATTCCCCCTTGTTAGAATGAGCAAGGTCCAAAACGTGTCAATAGACCTTACCCTTTACTGAAATGGCCTCGCGTCCACTTATGACAGTTTTTGGGTGGCAGGCGCACGACCAGGTTATATTGCTATATTTTTAGCACTGATATACATGTGATTATTTTCGATCTTTTGCCCATCAAAACGTACAGACATATACCTACCTTTTTGCGTACGAAATATATAACCCACATAAAAACAAGACCATTTTAATGCCATAATCTGTAAGGTACATTGCAAGATTTCACATTATGAAAAGGTTAAATCAATGTGGTATATTCGCCTACCTGAGCAACCCCACATTTTGGAGAAAAGTTTCAAAAATTTTCTTCAATGTCAAGGGCCTTTTTTATTCTGTTAATTACATCCAGTTTTGAGCCCTTGTCGCTAATATTTAAGCTTCTTGCCAAATCCCTAATCACTGGAACCTATAATTAGTGTACAAAAAAATACTTTTCTGGGAAAGGAAAGACTATTCCTGGCATCAAATTTGCTATATACATTTTGAGAATAATAAAACGGTCCCTACCTTTCCTTCACAAAACATATCCATTAACTTCTCAACAGACAGGTTATCTGTGATGCTCCTGCGGACCGAATATCATCTCCATGGTTGGCTTTGCGAAATTCGCTGTTGTATACCAGCTTTCCTCTCCGACAGTTAAGTCCAACAAAAGGGGCCCAAAAATTGTAGCTAAGTTTTAATTCCAAAGGATTCTTTTCCGTACCTAAATAAGTATTAAAATGTATATACAAACAATTACATAGTGTTATATTCTTGTAGGTTTTCATGGCAATATCACATTATAAATAAATTAGCTTGTAGGTACACCACGTAAGTTTTTTAATATTGCAAAGCTTTCAGTCCGTTAATCTGGGCCTTCATCAGTGCGACTACTTGTGAACACATTTACACTCCACCTAAAGTGCTACTGCAACGAAATTTTCGACCCCTTTTTTATTGGCTCAATTTAAAGTGCTCACTTTTCTGATTTCATTTCTGAAAACAGAATCAAAATTGGCTTTCTCAAAAGATTTTTATAGCTCTCCAAAGTCGCGATTTTTGCCACTTCCTGTGCAAACTTTTGCTCCGCCATATTGTAGTTTGTGACGTGGAAAAGAGTACCGATTCTTAGCATGGCGTAAAAATACTAGTGTTAAGTAGCCTCGTCGACGAAGAACCTGTATTTCTTACAGTCCCTACTAAGCCAGTATTCATCAAAATTGTTAAATATCTATACATATGTTCCTAACAAAAAGATGGATCGCCAAAATCGAAGAAAATATTGAATTTTGTTCCGACTTTCTGTTTCATGGTTCGCGGTTCTTTGCGCGCGGCTAAGTCAATTTCAATGATTCGTATATGACTCTTGTTTAGCAAGATCCCTTAAAAGAGTATTGAAAGAAGATTCTGTGCATACATTTGATGTCTGAACTGATCGTAGCACAAGTTGAAAGCTAACAGATATATAGGCAAAGGCTGATTTTATCATCAATGCCGAGATACTTTGCGCGCACATGCATTAATGATGAATTATAATGATGTTGGCCTTGGGGTCTTAATGTGCACGGCCAATGTCGTTTCTTAAGACATTGAGGTTCAATTTAAATCAGCAAGGATGGTGTTTCTTGAGTATTTATGTAGATAAACGGACCTGTGTTAGTGTGTGTTTGATATATTCCGATACGCGCTATTGCAAAACAGTGGCAATGTGGCATTTACAATAGTGCAGTATCATATTACTGTTTATTGTTTGTGGGAATATATCGCATAGCATACACCAATATCATCTATCAGTAACAAGGACATCATATCATTGCCTTTGTCTTCGTTTATTGAAAAACTAAGCAGTTTTTTAAGTTCTTCAAGATCGTCTTATGTAGGACTTTGTGGCATAAAGGACTTTGCGGCACAACATATACATGCTTATACAGGGTGTATCAAAAAAAAATGTCCCAAATGTAAAAATTCCGTTTTTCAGGATATTTTGCAGAATTTGGCAAATTTTTGTGTTCCTAGAGATAGTTAAGACTTATCTGGTATACCTAGGCCAAGTTTGGTTTTTCATTAACAAAATTATGTTACCGGGGGGGGTGTTCCTTTCCACTGATATTGAGAGGGCTTGCGCGCGAAAATGTGAAGCTGAAATTGAGATATTATTTAGCTGTCTAAAAGTAGGAAAGCTTTTTAATAAACTGTCAAAGTTTCAGAAAATTTAATGCATACTGGGAGCAACGCGCGACTCCTAAAGGTGACAAATATTTCATTGCGCGCAGTGGATTAAATGCATCGTTGATTTTAGCGTGACCGATCTCATACAAGGTGGGCAAATGAATAGATTAAAGCGAGAAACTGAACACAAAAACAAAGCGATTTATTCGTGATGTTAATCCTCAGCATGTCCACCATTTCATTCTAAGCAAACTACGGCTTGTCTGAGCATACTAAACACTGAACAGCGAACCATTTGTCTGTCCATTCGCCTAGATTTGCCGGTGGTAGCGTAGGCGATTTGCAAGAAAGAATTTTGAACGAAATGGATAATTTGAGACAGGACAGACAAATGTGGTTCGGCGTTCAGTGTTTACCATGCTCAGACGAGCCGCAGTTTTCTTAGAAAGAAATGGCAGAAATGTTGAGGATTAACATCAAGAATAAAAATCTTGTTATTAAATTGCTTCGTCTTCTTGTTCAGTTTCTCGCTTTAATTTATTCATATGCCCATGCAGCCTTGCATCAGATCAGTCACGCTAAAATCAACCATGCATTTAATCCACTACGCGCAATGAAATATTTGTCACTTTTAGGGGTCGCGCATTGCTCCCAGTTTGCATTATTTTCCCTGAAACTTTGACAGTTTATTAAAAAGCTTTCCTACTTTTAGACAGCTAAATAATATCTCAATTTCAGCTTCACATTTTCGCGCGCAAGCAGTCTCAATATCAGTGGAAAGGAACCTCCCCCCCGGTAACATAATTTTGTTAATGAAAAACCAAACTTGGCCTAGGTATACCAGATAAGTCTTAACTATCTCTAGGAACACAAAAAATTGCCAAATTCTGCAAAATATCCTGAAAAACGGAAATTTTACATTTGGGACATTTTTTTTGATACACCCTGTATATGGCATATACTAGAAGTTACTATCGCAAGGGGAGTGCTGCCATGTGCAAAAAGCACTTTGTACATACAAGTTTGGCAGCTGCTGGTGCAAAGAAAGTAGAGCTGACCAAAGTATTTTTACATAGGTCAATGACTGATAACCTGCATGCTGGCAAATATGTTATTATGGTAACAGTTTAGAATTTCTGATATGCAAATGTAAAATCAATACAATTTTAAGAATGAACAATTTTTGTTTATTTAAAAAGATGAAATTCAAAAATAAGAATAGTAATGTGTGCATGTATAACAATTGATCATTTTCAAACAGGTGTTTCGTATAAAAAGTATTATTAGTTTTATGTGAATATTACATCATTATAATCACAGGACATGACATTACTGTTACAGTACGTTACATATTATTGATTATATTATACTACAGCCCATGGCAACACAGGACAGCACAGTATTCTATTTACAACACAGTATAACCAACAAATGACACTGTATGTATGTAGTTTGTGCGAAGTTCTTTTAGATCATTTTATCGGATTTGGTATGTTTTTAGGTATAGTTAAGTTATTTGTATTAGATTTGCATCTGTAGATTGTAATGTGGGGATTAAGTGACATGGCAATTATGGTATTGAATACCAAAAGTTTCTTCAATTAAAACACATTGTATATTATTTTTCTTGCTTTTGTAGAATGTGTTTGTAGTACAATACTTTTGGAACTATGATGATGCTGGATGAACTTGGCTCAGTTTATTGCTGATACTGCATGGCCGATATGTCCATAAAGAATGTAGTTTATGTATTTTTTCCTTGTTGTACTTTATTAGTTTATCTTACGTCTCTCTCGGAATTATGTTTTCTGTTTTCAGTTTGGAATCATCTTATATCCACATCATAGTTGTATCATAGATCCATTGTTTTCATTATTTATCTTGTTTCAATTGTTGGAGCAGGTTATAGGAAACTACAAAAGAGACATTTTTAGAAACATCTTAGTTTCTCTATAGCAAGAAAAGTTCTAAGAGAAGAAAGTACACAAACTTAAAATATAAAACTTACCATTTGATGCATGTGTTGATGATGATATATTGATATTGTAATACATACAGTGATCATACATAATTATGAAAGTGATGAAATATATACAAATAAACATAGACTAAACACAGAATAAAGCACAATGGACCTATAGCAGAATCCATGTCTTATTGCAAACTCTATGGCTTGTTTATTAAAATGCAGGACCTCTATAGTTCTCAAACTCAATAATGACTGCAATAGGCAAGTCAGGTGGTTGGTGGTTGTTTTGAAAAATAATATCAACAACTGTCCCTGTAGCTCCATTACAAAGCCCAACATTTGACCACAGATTCACGGTTAGCATGACTGTGGCACCTTTCGCCAGAAAAATAACTGGTTCCAATCCTGACATTTCATCAGAAGCAATGTTTTTTGCCATTTCTGATGAATGGCGAGCATTGACACGGGCAATTGGATGTCTGAGCTTTAAAAGTTGCTCATGATTGTAGTTGGCAACTTGTTCATTGCTATAGAAAAGTTTAGTAGCATGTTCGAATTCTTGTATATTTGTGACATTTGATGGTTGACGCGTAAGAAGTAATTTCCAATCGTCAATTGTTGACTCGCCTTACCTTGTACTTGTTGCTTTACTGTGAGTTTAACAACTTTGTCAAACATTTGATATGCTTGAAAACCTTGTTCACCAACAGCGCTTGATGGTTTCGCATGATAAAGAGGTTTATCTGCCACTGGTGGCAATTGACCTGGATCGGCAGTTAAAATTAACGAGTTTCCTCCAAATATTTTGTCATAACAGGCAGTTGCT